AGGTCCAGCCTGAAATGCAGCCAGCCTTGCCGCAGCCAGGCTTGGAAGAAAGGTGCCTGGGGGGTTGCAGTATGGGGCCATATGCCAAAGGGCAAGGGGAACACCCGGGGTCCTGCCTGAATAACCCCATGGTGAGGCCCCAGCTGTAAGCTGGGGTGTCTCTGGCAGTGACTGAGAAGTCTGAAACCCCTGTCAGGGCTGTGCCCCCTCACCCCAGCACCCTTCTGCAGTGATGGTAGGGTTCTCCCCAGACATGGGGGGCTCTCCCCAGCTCCCAAGGGCATGGGGAGCCCCAGCAGGCTGGGAGCTTGCAGCCTTGGCACCCCAAACACTCGTACTTTATTTTCGGAGGGTCACAGATGGCCAGTGCCCCGCTGGCAGGGCAGGGAGCCACTGGGGGCTGCGCTGGTGGGGCTCAGCCCACAGGCACATGGGAACCCAGCCATGAGATGCTGGCCCTGCCATGGTGCCCAGCTGCCTGACTCAGGCCTCCCACTGGTGGGGCTGTGCCTTACCAGTAGTGCTGGTGGGAACAGAAAGCAGTGATGGGGCTGCAAGGGGGACCTGAGGCCAGGCTGGGGATGAGCCACCAGCTCAAGCCCCCACAGGGAGCAGTGGTCCCAGGCTCAGTGCCCACGGCCCGCCCGCAGCTCTCAGCACCAAAGGTGGTTTCTCTCTTGAGGTCAGCTCGGGAAATGCATTGGCTTCCCAAGCCTCGCTGCTGGCCAGGGCTGGGCCGATTCCTCCGCGATTTCCGAGCCTCCTGGAAAGCAGTGCCCTGCCTTCCCACCCCAGCTGCTGCAGCTGTGCTGCACAAAACCCCTTCCCCGCCTTGGCCCGCTCTGTCTGTCCTGCTAAAATACACGAGACAAGTTTAGGCTCCAAAAAACCCTGGTATCCAAAATAGGGAGGGTTGGGAAAGCTTTGCCAGCTCCCTGCACTGCACACCGATGCCTCAGGTCCCTCTGCCCAGCAGTGGGGATGCTGCCCCCGTTTTGAGGATGCTCTGGGAGAGGAGACCCCACTCCGTCAGTGGCAGGAGCCCACCCGTTTCGCAGCCCCTCTCCCTGCAGTGGGCAGTGGTGCTGAGCTTGGACTTACCGGGGAAGGGCTGGCGTGGCAGCGTGCAAGGTGCTGCGAGTCTGCCCGGGCAGTTGCTGGTGCTGGGGTGGGTCACGCGAGGGCTTCCTCTTTTCTGTGTCCCAGCCCCGGCCCCCTTCCTGCTGCGTGCGGCAACTGGCACAACCCACACTTCCCCTGTGCGGCATGGGCAGCGATGTGACCCACGGCTGGGTGCACATCCCGGGGGTGGGTGCATGGATGTGGCCGGGTGGGTGGCCGTGACTGTTACATATCCCATATCTGAGAGGGTGCCCAAGGCTGGGTGTGCGTCCCACGGCTGAGCACATGCCCCATAGATGTGTGAGTGCCTCCTGGCTGGGTAGGTGCCCGTGGTTGGTGCATGCACCTGGCTGGGTGCTGCATATGGCTGGGTGCATGCCCCATGCCAGGGTGGACACTGCTGCCCCATGCATGCCCATGGCAGGGTGGGACACTGTTGCCCCGTGCATGCCCATGGCAGGGTGGGACACTGTTGCTCCGTGCATGCCCCATGGCAGGTGCTGCCCCACGGCAGTGCCCTGGCACCCCCAGGAAAAGCTCCTGGTGCAGGTCCTGCTCACTGTTCTGTGCCTGCTCATCCTGCCTCATCTCCCTGTGCTTCCCCCGCTACCCTCCAGCCAGGCTGCAGCTCCTTGAAGGTGCTTGTGGCCCAGTGTGGGATTTCAGTTCCCCAAAGGGGTTTCCCAGGTACCACGTTGGAAACCGAGTCCAAAGCATGCGTGACTTCTTTCTGCCAAGCACCTATCCCGTCCCAGCTGCCAGCCAGAGTCCCAGTGCCCTGGCTGGGCTGCGGTTTTCCGAGGCACTCGTCCCGTTTGGGGTTTGCGGGATGGCCCTGTGTCCCCAGACTGCACCGAACTCTCCAGCACTCCCTTCTGGTGTGGAAGGGTCCCCTTCCAAGGCAATGGGGACTGGGCCCATGTCTGCACTGGTCACCTGCACCAGCCATATTCCCATGTTCCTGGTCTCATGGCAGAGAGGTGCCAGGGGACAAGGAAGAGGGTGGCAGGGAGTGGCACAGGGTGGCACGGAGGAGGGGACAGTGGGTAGAGATCCCCAGCCCATGCTAAGTGCTGCCACCCCACCCTGTCCTTGGGCACCCAGCACTGCGGGGCAGGATGGAGGCAGGGTCCTGAGCC